TGTGTTTTAATAACTAAAGCATTTAGAACTGTACTTGGACACAGTAGGTACTCAATAAATGTTAGCCATTATTATTATTGCTATTAATATCCATTTTTCTTTCACATGGAACTTTCCATATTTTAAGTTAGCTTGCTTTTAATCATTGCTTGGGGGATGACCTTCAAGGCACTCTTTCTTTGAGAACTGGCAAGGGATGGAATCAGGTGGGGAATCTCTTAAGTATTTTGTTGAATATGCTAAAATGATTGCCCAGTCCTGATAGCAGAATCTAGGAAAATCCTAACACAAAAGAATCTCTCATGGAAGAATATGGCAAAATCTGGACACAGAAGATTTATTTTTCAGTTTTGTGATGTTTTAGGAAAACCTGCATCAAAGCTGCCAGGTATAAGCCTAAATCTCAAAACATGTGCCTTGTCCTTGAATGCCCTGATTGACTACTTTTCCTTTCCAACTTGGCTACTACAAAACAATGGCAATGAAGACACCTCCTCGCTTCTACCCTGTAATTCTCACATTCCCGAAAAGCAGCACCTGAGAAATTAGCTAACGAGCGAGCACGACTGAACACGTGTGGCCTAATAACACAATCTGAGTGTACTATCTGGTGTTCTGCTTTGCCTGGCTGGGAGTAGAGCTGTGAGTGAGATTGAATTGGGCCTTATCTCACTCTGGGGCGGCTCCAGGCTTCAGGTGGATGCCCGCATGCATAAACCACAGCTTTGAAGAGCAGAGCGCCTGGAAACGTCCTCGTGCCCAAGTCCCAGCGCGGCAACGCAAAGCAGGGCGCCTCTGAACCAAATAATCACAGAAGTCCCTGAATAATGCATGAGAGCAGGACCCTCCCTGGCACATTTGAAACTGTTCTGGGAGGAACTGTACTCAGCAAGCTAGCAGAAACACATCCCTGGAACATGCATTTTCTGAAATTTATTCTTGTAGCAGCCGTTTGGGGGAAACTGAAAGCGAACATGACAACGAAAATCACAGCATTTTTGTGAGTCTGAGGCCCCTAGGATTTGTGTCAATATTAAGAAGCAATGTGACAAGATCTAAAATGTTATCTTATTGATACTCTACCTCTTCCTCTGGGGAATTTGGGGGGTGGACTGATCCTCATGGAGAAATGACCAGTATCGTCTGAAAACCTCTATTTCTTGCTTTTGTTTGGTTGGCTTAGTAACATGTGCAGCTTCCCATTATTAAAGTTAGCTGATACCTAGACTTGCAGCAAAGCTCCATCTCAAGAGGCTGTTTCTGTGAGGACCGGCCCTGAATATAATCAGGTGAGGCACTTCCCCCTTTCTGATCTAGATGTCGGCTTTAATATAGCTGCAGTGTTGATGAGTGGGATTTGATTCCACAAATGTTTAGCCTCTAATCTGATATTCCAGCTACTCATTAAGTGTAAAATAAACAAATCTTTTAGGAAGTATGGGTCCTCACCACCATGTCACAAACCCCGCCTGGCTGTCCTAGAATGTCCATCTTAGGCTTGTGATCTGAACAGGGCATCTTCCTGGTCCAGCTGGGAGGAGGGAGAGCCAGGAGTCTGTTTCATGGCCTTCCCTTGACTTTCAAGTAGACTTGTTTCCTGGCACCCGAAGATGTCAGGCCTCATGGAAGGGCCCTGTCTTCACTTATGCCGACCGTGGTCGGCTATATTTCGGCATTGTAATGATGAAATGAGGGCAATTCTCTTGACTCAGAAATTCTGTTCCTAGCAATTTATTCACTGCACAAATATTTAGGGTTTAGGATGTTCATCAGATTATTGTTTATAGTAGCCCCCACTGCAAACAGAATCAGCGAAATTGTCCAAAACTGGGAGATTGGTCACATAAATTCCGGGACATCCATAATTGGAATAGTATGCCCTTAAGGAAGAACATTAAATAAAATGGAAAATATATCCCCCTTGTATTTTTAAGTTTAAAATACATGTTAAAAATATAATGTACAGGGCTTCCCTGGTGGCGCAGTGGTTGAGAGTCCACCTGCCGACGCAGGGGACACGGGTTCGTGCCCCGGTCCGGGAGGATCCCACATGCCGCGGAGCGGCTGGGCCCGTGAGCCATGGCCGCTGAGCCTGCGTGTCCGGAGCCTGTGCTCCGCAACAGGAGAGGCCACAACAGTGAGAGGCCCGCATACCGCAAAAAAAAAAAAAAAAAAAAATATATATATATATATATAAAATGTACAGTATGATCTCAAATCTGTAAACGAAAGAAGTAGATATTTAATTGTGGTTATATCCGAGTGAAGTAATTATAAGTAATTTTCGTCTCTTTTTACGGTTCTGCATTGCTCATATTTTCCATAATGACAGTGTGTTGCATTAATTATCACTGGGGTTTGGGGGTGGGGATTAATGATTTTAAGAAAAAGACCAGCTACAACCAAAGTATTCTCCCTTTAATGTTACCAGGTACACAGGGAAGAAAAGGGATGCAGAGCCCCTCCCCTCCTGAGGGAAGCACAATGGGCTTTCCTCTCCCCAATATCTTACCAACTGAAAAGTGTCAAGATCTCTGGGTAATAAGTAAGATAAAATATGCCTTAGTCAAAAGGGTCTGGCTGCTTTGTAAGTCAGTCACTGTCAGGGAGGAGGTGACGAAGGCAGCTTGGTAGGGGATGCAGGGTTTCTGGATGAAGTAAGATAAGGACATGTGAATGTTTCCATTTTCTCATCACAATGCCCGACATCCTTGGGACCAATTGCTCTGACACACACCATTGTCAGCCCCCGTAAGTTCTTTATTACAACACTTAACAACCATCATCCCCAATTTCCCATTTGCTTAGAACATCATTCTTAAATTCCTTAATTTGTTTTCAAGGCTCGAATAAAAGGCCCTTTCATCACTCTGTCAAAGGGCAGTCTGATTGCCAAGCTCTAAGTGCTGTGATTCTCCCTATCAGATACAGAATAGTGCAGATAATACTCTACTGAGATAATGAAGAATGGGCAGCCCATAATGAGTGTGCAGCTCTAAAGAGAGTCAAGAAATTAATTCCATTCTGAGAATTTGGAAAATGACTCCTGCACACAATACAGCAAGGTGGAGGGAGAACTAAGTTTCAGTTTTTAAAAATACGCACATCAGCTTGTGTTTAAGATGGACTGGTGGTCTGTGCCTACTCCCTGGTGAGGACCAAAGAGCTCCTTCAGATGCCCCCAAGGCCACCTTACAGTCACTCGTGGTGTTCTTTTGTGAGACGCTGAGCTTTGGCAAAACTTGATTATATGTAGAGAAAACTCATTTCAAAGTCTGCAGGGCAAGAGGAAGGAGGAAAGATTATTTCCTATACATTTCACAAGGTCTAGGCTGAGGAAAATCATTAACCTGGGCTAATTCTGTTGGCTAAGGCACCAACAGAAGTTTCCCGGGGACAATCACCACGAGAATTCCTAAAACAGTGGCTGATAAAATGTATCTATTTATTAATTCCATGAACATTGGACAACTGAACATCCATGATGTACAAGGTGATGTATCATATGCTCTGGAGGCTGAAGGATGAGTAAGACATAAAGCCAGTTCAAGAGATAAGATATTCACTGGTCCCAGAATGAAGATAAAAGCATGAGCCGCACATGTTTCAGCAGGTGGGGATGAGGGAGAGGATCCCTTCTGCCAAGGACACCAAAGGAGGCTGATGGGAGGAGTTTCTAGTTGAACTGGTTTTTAGGAATGCTTCGAAATGTGGATTGTGAAGATATTAACTGTGTTACTTGATTTTACAAGAGGTAAGCTGGTGGTGGAAGGAATATACTTATTAACCCTCCTTGTGAACCTGGCATCTTGTAGGTTCCTTCAAACATGTTCTCACTGGACAGGCATGTCATAACCTCATGGAAGTGAATATCTTTTAATCACCACAGGCACAGTGATTCCAGGGACTTCTACTCCTCGTTTCACTGTTTCACCGTTCTGATGCGCATACCAGCGCTGCCTCTTTTACATCACAGAATTGAAAGGGAAGGATTAGATAGAAGGGAGAAGGGAATACGGAGGAGGAAAAGGTAGTTTAGAGGAAGCTGACAGTAAGGAAGAGGAACACACGGTGAAGGTTGGGTGTGTGATAGCTCTTCAATTCTGATTCTTTCTCATCAGTACCCACGGTTCTGGGTTCTTCCCTGCTGGTCTCTCACCATGGCTATCCAGTGTGTGTCCTGGTCTCTGCCTACTTTTATCCATCCTAAACTCTATTGCTCCATGCATCTTCCTAAATCAACACTTTTCCTATTTTAGCAATTCACAGGTGCATGTAGAGCCCATGACAGTTGGGCCTCAGCCTCCTGTTCTAGCTTACGTCCCTCTTTTCATTCATTCATTTATTGACCAAACATTCAATGAAATGCACAACACGAACTTCCTGGTCTCATTAGGCCATTCTGCTCTCTGTACCTTCTGAAATATTCTCTTAAATATTCTTTGTCTACTGCTTACCTCCATGACTTGCTAATCCATGCCTCTATTTCTAATCTACCACTTTTACACCTACAATACTTGAGTACGTTCTATTTTTTTTTTATTCTCCACATTTCCTAGAGCAGCTCCTTATATACAACAAACCCTCAATAAGCATGTGTTAATTAAATGTCATGCTAATTAAATGAGCAATTATACAATAAACTGCTTGTTGAAATACAGGTTCTTGAGGCAGAGGGGAAGAAAACTACTAAGGTTAACATTAAAAAAACTCATTTCTATTAATTATCTGGCGTATGAAATATTCTGCTTTTTACCCAAAGTCTGTATTGATTGTCTCTCTCTCTCTATCTCTCTCTCTCTCTGCCTATCAACCATCACAATCGAATGATGGATGTATTAGAAGATTATATGCATTTTTCTTCTTTTCACACATTTTGGACATTCAAAAATAATGTCAGATTAGTTTTTAGGGGAGAAAAGAAGGGTCTATTTATCAAAGGCAATATTAACCTTAGTCATTAAAATACACTTATCTCGTATGAAGGTCACTTCTTTTCCATGGCATCGTTTATTGAATGCCTGCAGAGAGCAGGATTTGTGGAGGTGCCATGGGACACCAGGCCTAAGGTCCAGTGGTCAAAGAGGAACTTAAAGGGTAGATGTGACCAAGACTTTCATATGCACGTTAAAAGCGCAGTAAGTGATGCAGTAAATCCTCGAGGCCAGAAAGGTCAGAGGAGATGGAGATGAGGCTTGAGCTGGGACAGGAGAGACGAGCAGGATGCAGATGAGTGAAGGAAAAGGCAAAGACTGAGGGAAGGCAGTCATGTCCTTGCGCTGTGTTTAGAATGTTTTAATAGGATTACCTTACTGCAGAGCAAGAGACTGAATAGTGTGTGTTCCGTGTATTTGTGCTTTCGTAAGCCATGATGGTCCCTATGATAATCATCAGTTAAAATAATCTTCGAACTGGGCTTCCCTGGTGGCGCAGTCGTTGAGAGTCCGCCTGCCGATGCAGGGCACACGGGTTCGTGCCCTGGTCCGGGAGGATCCCACGTGCCGCGGAGCGGCTGGGCCCGTCGGAGCGAGAGGCCGCAGCGGCGGGAGGCCGGCGTACCGAAAACAAAACAAAACAAAATAATCATTGAACTAACCAAGGTGCCCCGTCCCCTAATGCCCCTGAGTACACAGGGCTTTGCCATCATTACCCTGAGGCCACAAGAATAACAATTCTAAAGAGTTGTAATTGTTTTTCAGACATTCGTAAATGAATTCGCCCAAACTCTCAATGAAGCAGGTGGCAAATGGAAGATGTGCTGGCAGCACGCTGTCCCTGAGACAGAAAAAGTTATCGTCTTTGGGATCGTTCAGGTCCAGGCAGAACAGTCCCTTAACTTGATGGTTAGCATTTCTCCCACTTTACCAAAATCACTGGGTGCCTGAGATCTCCTCGAGGACGATGTCTTAGTGATCTCGGGGTCCCCACTGCCTAGCCCCAGTGTGTGGCAAATACCAGGGGCTCAATCAATGTTTGGAGAATTACCAGGTGAGTGAATGGATGGATGAAAGGAGGAAATAATAGTTTGCTTATTAATGTTTCCAAAATCTGGGGAAAGTTTTAACTGCCAGCACAAGTGTTGGAACAGATGAGCCTCTGCCTCAGCTTAGGAGGTTGAGTTAAAAGGGACGGGTGGTGATGAGAGCCTCTGCATGTGGCCACATGGCCTTTGCTTGGGAGCTGCTTGTCCTTATTCTCTGGTCTCTGTTTTACCCTCCATTGTGCTGTTGAACAATTAACGTTTGAAAAGGAAAGCTGCAGATTTCAGAGTATTTTTAAGAATTTTCCATAGATTGGGAGTTTGGGATTGACATATACACACTGCTGTATTCAAAACAGATAATCAACAAGGACTGTATAGCACAGGGAGCTCTGTTCAATATTCTGTAATTACCTAAATGGGAAAAGAATTTGAAAAAGAATAGACACATGTATATGTATAACTCTATCACTTTGCCGTATACCTGAAACTAACACAACACTGTTAGTCAACTAGAACCCAATGTAAAATAAAAATTTTTTAAAATAAAATATTTTGTATATTCTAAAAAAAAAAAAAAACAAGAATTTTCCTTAGAAACTAAATTGGGAGTTATGGGAGCAGAAGAAAATGAGTTTCCGTTGTTTGGGAACAGGGAAGAAAGTCATGAAACTGGAGTGAAGCTTGTACACAGTGAAGGTTGGGCGTGTGGCCTGGAGGTAGACATCATTTCATCAATGACTTTTGCAGTTTTCTGTCTGATAGTAGAGGAGCAAATGAAAGTAGAGAAAAAAATAGAGATGAGCAAACATGCTTTTAATGAATCAAATTGTGTTTTCTTCTTCAATAATTAGGTGTTCTTCAACCCTATTTTCTTTTTACTATTACTCTAGCTTTCTATTTTGACTGCTTTGCAAGATTGAGACAAACAAATAAAACATACATGAGAATATGTCTGACTAAACCAATACCCAAATGCTATTAGGCACTTGGTTCCAGAACCATGAGATGGGACAACTTTGTATTTCATCAATATGAATGTTGCCCTAGTCCATTTTTGTGTCTTGATGTCAGAGTTTGTTTTCGTTACAAATGGACCTCTGTCCTATTTGGCTAGTAGAACTTGCAGACATTTGGGGCTTATTTTACTCATGTAAACAGCACCCTACGACTTAGCTAGTCTTTGTTAAATGCAGTGTTACATTGAATAAAGTTAAATTTGAAACCAAGATCATTTTAAATTAAAGTGTAAGCTAGTTTCAGTTAGCTTTGAGACCATGTGGATTCCAATGCAAAGAAAGCACAGGGAACTCTATGGCCAATTAATTTTCCCAAGTGAGACCAAAGCCTCTCAGGTTCCAGCAGCAAGTTCCAGTTAACCCTTTATGACACAAACTGTTGTAATTCCCAGCCCTAAAATCCTCCAGCTCTTATGATTATTTTAAAAATCTGGATTGTGTCTAAATTTGAGACACATAAATGGGGTTGAGTCTTATCAATCGATAGTCATCATCTTTCTTGTTTAAATCCTCTTTTGTGTTTTCCGTTTTGTGCAATTAACAAGGGAACTTACAGATTTCCCATCTGTGATCTTTTTTTTTTCCCTGTGGTACGCGGGCCCCTCACTGTTGTGGCCTCTCCCGTTGTGGAGCACAGGCTCCAGACGCGCGGGCTTAGCAGCAATGACTCACGGGCCCAGCCGCTCCGCGGCATGTGGGATCTTCCCGGACCGGGGCACGAACCCGTGTCCCCTGCATCGGCAGGCGGACTCTCAACCACTGCGCCACCAGGGAAGCCCCCCCCCCCATCTGTGATCTTATTTGAGCATTCAAAAATCTGTCTGGGGCTTCCCTGGTGGCACAGTTTTAGTCTGCCCAGGGGCACCCTGAGTGTCACCCCTGGTGATAAAGGTGGGGTGGGCAGCCCATTCCATTGGCAGCTGCTCAAATGATGAGAAAGATTTTCCTTACTTGGAATCAATGTTTGCTTTCCTCTAATGCCTACTGCTGTGTCTTTTGTTTTTTTTTTAAACATCTTTATTGGAGTATAATTGCTTTACATTGTTGTGTTAGTTTCTGCTGTATAACAAAGTGAATCAGCTATACGTACACATATATCCCCATATCCCTTCCCTCTTGCGTCTCCCTCCCACCCTCCCTATCCCACCCCTTTAGGTGCTCACAAAGCACCGAGCTGATCTCTCTGTGCTATGCGGCTGCTTCCCACTAGCTATCTATTTTACGGTTGGGACTGTATATATGTCCATGCCACTCTCTCACTTCGTCCCAGCTTACCCTTCCCCCTCCCCGTGTCCTCAAGTCCATTCTCTACGCCTGCATCTTTATTCCTGTCCTGCCCCTAGGTTCTTCAGAACCTTTTTTTTTTTTTTTTTAGATTCCATATATATGTGTTAGCATAATGAGGCATCACCTCACACCGGTCAGAATGGCCATCATCAAAAAATCTACAAACAGTAAATGCCGGAGAGGGTGTGGAGAAAAGGGAACCTTCCTGCACTGTTGGTGGGAATGTAAATTGATACAGCCACTACGGAGAACAGTATGGAGGTTCCTTAAAAAACTAAAAATAGAACTACCATATGGCCCAGCAATCCCACTACTGGGCATATACCCTGAGCAAACTATAATTCAAAAAGAGTCATGTACCACAATGTTCATTGCAGCTCTATTTACAATAGCCAGGACATGGAAGCAACCTAAGTGTCCACTGACAGACAAATGGGTAAAGAAAATGTGGCACATATATACAATGGAATATTACTCAGCCATAAAAAGAAACGAAATTGAGTCATTTGTAGTGAGGTGGATGGACCTAGAGTCTGTCATACAGAGTGAAGTAAGTCAGAAAGAGAAAAACAAATACCGTATGCTAACACATATATACTGCTGTGTCTTTATCTGTCGACTTTTCCAAATCTCTTCTGGCCTCTTCACACCTCTCTTGCCCTTTTGAGCCAGTGGTGCCCTAATCTTTACCTGATCATTCTGAAGCTAGCCATTTAATAAAATGTATCTCTTCTCAATGTTCCAATAGATGCCATTAGATGAGATGAGACCTGTGATTATAATAACCACAACACCTGACAATTAATAGGCATTCAATAAATATTAGTTACATTTTTGTTTTTAAAATATCAATATGGTGCCCAGGAAAGCACAAAAGCTTTGAAATCAAATAGGCCTAAATTTTATTGCATCAAGTATTAATTTGCTCTAGGATCTTGGGCTGTATTTTTCACCTTTCTCAGTCTCTGTGTTCTCAGCTTTTTTTTAAAAAGTCATGATAAAACCCATTTTACAAAGTTATGTTGAAGGTTATCTGTGCCAGTATCCATAAAGTACCTAGCTCAGTTTCTAGCAGACAGTAAGTGCTCAGTAAATATTAGTCTCCACACACAACACATCCTTCCCCTACCCCACCCACCTCTTAACCCAGAACACCCCTGTGAACAGGAAAGATTAAGGAGACTTGGCTTCCAGCTTTGCTCTTTCTAGTCACATGACTTTGGGTAAATCATCCTAACCCCCTGGCACTGTTTCCCTATCAAATAGTCCCCCGTGTCTACTACAAAAGTTCCTTTTAAGGATCAAATAAAATATCAGATGGGTGATAACATTCAATAAACATGGCGTGTTCTCTTAATGTAAGGTACCGTTATTGCTGGTAGCGATTGAACAGTAAATGATTGCTGAATGAATTATTGCTGATCGATTCCCCCAACCCCGCCCCTCCCCACCCTGGAGCAGAAAGAAAAAGCCCAGCAAATAGCACTGAAAACCTATTCATGCGTGTTTGTATTATAGAAACACGCACATAGGGGAACATGGCCCGACAGGTGCAAATCCAGACAGATATTCTCACGTGACCATCTGGCAGAAAAACCCATTGAGTCAATGCTGATACAGACGCTACAGAGGCGCGGGTCCCAGGG